ATAAAGGTAGTAGGGAGACCAGCAGATGGCATAATGGCTACATTGCTGGACTCCCATGTCATTGACCGCGGTTCGGGTCCCGGACCCGGTGGCTTAAACTCATGCTGGGTGCGAGTGCATGCGAGCCCAAGATCCCGAGAGGAGAATGGAGAAAGGATTGCAGTGTGGCCATCCCCGCTGGGGGGTGATTTCTCCCTTTCTGTCTCTCTGTCTGTCTCTGTCTTTCTGGTGAGCGCATGCGCCCTATAGCAAAAACCTCTCCAAAAAAAAAAAAAAATGGTATAAACCACTCCAAAAAAAAAAAAAAATGGTATTAGGTAAAAATAGATAGAAACTAGCTTCTAGACAATTCTAATTTCAAGGCTGAGCTGAGGACACCCAGAGTGATAGAAGATGGTGCTTTGAGCAAAGGCTTTGAAAAGGTGAGAGAAGCAAATGGGCTCTGAGAGGCCAGATGATGGTTTTTTAACACAGCTGGACCCCGCCTGGGAAAGCCTGGGGTCACATCTCTGAATGTACAGAGCGTGTGTGTATGCCCATGATCCAGGCATAAGCTCCTCTCCTGTCTTCACTCTCCTCTCCTCTCCTTTCCCCTCCTCTCCTCTCCCCTTCTCTGTCCCCTCCTCTCCTTTCCTAACTTCTTTCCTCCCCTCCTTTTCTCTGATCCTCTTTCCTGGCCCCCTTTTTTTAGGAAGAGAGCTGCCATCTACAAACCATGGCTCAGCGTTCCTTACCTTTAGCAGGCTCACAGCATCTAGGGACCCTGGTCCAGAAAATATGGTAGCTGGACTTTCTGGAATCAGGACTTCTCACAGCTTGGAGAAACCTGGGTGGTTTTTAGGGTATGAGGTGCTTTATCTAGGAATACTCTTCCTCTGTTTGGATTTAGTTTGTCCTTGGAATTATTTGAGCTGATGGTTGAGGGACAATGTATGCGATGATGTTTCATCCCCCTTTTCTGAACGAATTTGTCCTTGAACACAGGCCAGAATGCTCCTCCCCCTCCCCCTTGAATCCCTAACCCTAACCCGATTCCTTCATGGAAACAAAACCAAAATGAAAACAACTGTTTTTAAAAGCGCACACTCCTTGTTCTGGTCTGTTAACTTGTGGGATAAGGTATTTCTGATTCTGTCTCTGGGGAATTAAATTGCTCTTTAAGGAAACCTGGAAGATAACTTGGAAATAATGCTTCAAATTAATCATGTCGAAAAGATGAAAGTTATCAGTTTCCTTTCTACATCGAGCTTATTATCAGCGGTGCAATTAAATTCTATTTTATGCTGTGGTCCGAACACTTCATAGCTTGGAAAGACTCTCTTCTGAGACCTTTGCGGGGACTGCCAGTTGCCTCCCAACTTGGCAAGCATGCCAGCCTTGTCTCTGAGGGAGAGGTTCAGGGCTGAGCTCATGAACAGGCTCTGCTCAGTGTCCCCACGAAGGTACCAACAGATGTCTCCTGGTGCAATGGAGAGATGCCTGCCAGGAGTGGGCCCATGAGGGTCAGCCATGAGGAGTGTCCTTCCATGCAGGGGTGGTGGGCAGACCAAGTTGCACCTTATGCTGTTTAATTCATGGTCTCGAGAGATGATGGCACCACAGGGAAACCCCAACGCCTACTTTTCTGCTTTGCATGGCTTCCTGATTTTATCTGCAAACCAACATATCTTCATTCTTATTCGGCCTCTTACGGCCTTTTGCACAGATGGTGCCCTGATTACGCCTGTAGGCAGTGAGTGGAGTGAAAGAACCAAAGAGGTGCAATGACGTGTAGGCCTTTTGGTAAACAAAGGACTTGGCGGTCATCCTTTGACAAGTACTATGCGTCCACGGGTTAGGATGAGCCTCCTCTGGAGGCAGCTCATGCCTAGACCAGGAGAAATAGAGAGGTCCTGTCCCTGTAGCCAGATTGCCTGGGTTGGAGGCCCAGCGCCCCCTACTTGCTGACTGTGGGAGCTTGAACAAGTTGCTCAGCCTCTCTGTTCTTCAGTTTTCTCTGTATAAAGTGGAGACGTTAGTACTCCTTTTCTTTTCTTATGGAGAGATTTTTTTGCTGTTGGGCGTGTGAGCTTGCCAGAGAGATAGAGACAGAAAGCAAGAAATCACCCCCTAAGGGGGATGGCATGCAGCAATCCCTTCTCCTCCATTCTCATCTCAGAATTTTGGTCACTCACACACACCACGCATATGCCCAGCATTATTTTTTATTTTTTGGAGTTTTTTGCTATAGGGCGTGTGCGCTCACCAGAAAGACACAGAGAGACAAAGAGACAGAAAATGAGATATCACCAACCCCGCCCCGCCGTCCAGGGGAGATGGCCATGCTGCAATCCCTTCTCCATTCTCCTCTCGGAATCTTGGGCACACATGCACATGCGCCCAGCATGAGTGTAAACCATCAGGTCTGGAACTCGAACCACAGATGACTACATGGGAGTCCAGTGATATAACCACTACGCCATCCGCTGGTCCTGAGATGTTAGTACTCCTTACTTCATTAGGTTGTTGAGTATTGAAAATGCAACAATGCATGTAAAATACTTTGATAAGAGAGTCTGAAACCCAGTAGGAATCCAAAGAAAGCTATCATTTTTTTTTTTTTGGAGAGGTTTTCGCTATAGGGCGCGTGCGCTCGCCAGACAGACAGAGAGATGCTATAGGGCACGTGCGCTCACCAGACAGAGAGAGACAGAGAGACAGAAAGCGAGAAATCACCCCCCGGGGGGATGGCCACACGGCAATCCCTTCTCCTCCATTCTCCTCTCGGGATCTTGGGCACGCACGCACACGACTCCGGCGTGAGTTTAAGCCACCGGGTCTGGGACTTGAACCACGGTCGACTATGTGGGAGTCCAGTGACATAGCCATTACGCTAACTGCTGGTCCTGAAAGCTCTAATTTTGAATGCTTCCTATTAGCTCTACAGATGATTCACAGCAAATGATTCATAAGAAACAAGGCTTACCTATCACCCCTATACCCCCACCTCTAGGATGGTTTAAAATATAATAGACTTTATAAAAGTTTGATTTATTGATCACGTTAGAGGAATGCAGCTTATCCCAATCTGTGCTAATCACCCTTAATCACTTCAAGAAGAATGGTCCCCAGAGGTTAGACAAGGTCTTCCTGGGTAAAAACTGACATAAGTGTTACTTTTCAAGGTCCTGCTAGAGGACTTGGTTCCTGCTTCCAGGGCAGGGAGATATCTTAGGGTGTGGCTACAGAAGCCACCAGTTTATTTCTAAAATTGGGTGATTCGTCAATATAAGAATAGAAGCTTATTCAGCACACAGTTTTAGAGATCCTAGATCTGGGGACCATGTCTGGTAAGAGCCTTGATGCTAGAGGGGACAGAGTCTGAAGGTGGCACAAGATATCACAAGAAAGAAAGCTTGCACGCCTGTGTGTCTGTCTCATTATCCTTATAACTCCACCAGGATTTCATTTTTTTTTTTTAAGAGAAGGTTTTTGCTATAGGGCATGTGAACATGCCAGAAAGACAGAGAAAGAGAGAGAGAGATAGAAAGAAAGAAGTCACCCCCCAGAAGGGATGGCCACGCCGCAATCCCTTCTCCTCCATTCTCCTCTAGGGATCTTGGGCACACATGCACACGCGCCCAGAGTGAGTTTAAGCCACCGGGTCCAGGACTTGAACCACAGTTGACTGCATGAGAATCCAGCAACATAGCCATTATGCTAATTGCTAGTCCCTCCACCAGGATTTCATCATGGAGACCCTACCTTGATGACCCTAATTGCCTCCCAAAGACCTCTCCTCTTGATACCACGTTGGAATAAGTTTTTGCTCTTCTTCCTTTCTCTCTCTCTTTAATTTGCCATAGGTCATGTTTGCAGGAGAGAGAGAGAGAGCGATAGCGAGAGGGAGAGAGAGAGAGAGGGAGTGAGGGAGTGGGTGAAAAACCCGGGGGATGGCCATGCCACAATCCCTTCTTCTCCATTTCTCTTGGGATTTTGGGGCACACACGGACATGCTCCTGACATGTTTCTCAAGCTATTGGGGCCAGGACTTGAACTGCACACTTAGCCATGTGGGATTCAGCTACCTTAAACACCATGCCACTGTCTGGCCTGGTTTTTACCTTCTGTATCTCATTACCACCAAATTTCATCACATGGATTCTAGGAGGACACATTCAGACCATAGCAGCACCAGAAGCCACAGCAGAGAAGTAGGAGCAAACAGCCATCCATATTTTTCTCCCATTCCCATCCACCCCCAGTTCTTCTCTGCAAAGCCCCATGTACCATCTGGGCACATATTTCTGATGGCAACTGAAGAGGCACCATTAAACTTGTTGACCAAAGAGGCAAAACAAATGATGATGACAGAAATCAGAAAAGTAGTTTTCTTGGTGATGGAGTGTGGGGGTTATTGACTAGAAAAGGCACAAGAGACCTTTCTGGGGTATTGGAAATTGTCTATTTCTTCCTCTGGCAGGTGGTTGCAAGGTGTGAATAGATACATAGCACGTCATCATCATCGTAGATTTTAATTTGTGCATTCTATGGTAATAATTATAGCTCAACAAACAACATTCCTGCCCAAACTGAAAGTTGGAGATGATGCAGACAGTTCATGTATTTCATGGCATGCCTGACCCACTTTATTTTACAGACACTGAAAGTTCTGTCTCTGTATCCATTACCCATCTTTATCTTCCTCCACAAGTGTGTTTATACCCACAGGTTATATTTATATCTGCAGTCACATCTATATATTTATATCTGGAGAGGAGAGAAGAGTGTTATATGTACATGCCTATATATATATATATATATATATTGCATGGTTTACTTCTTTCAAAGAACAGGAAGATCCCAACTCCATATTTTTGTTTTGGAGAATGCCATACATTCACACACAGACACACGCACACACACACACACACACAAATACATGCATGCATGCTAAGTCTAGGAACCTCAATGACAATCTTGTCTTTCTCTGTCATCTGAGAAGAGATGCTGAAACCGACCTTGAGGATGACCTTCGGGATCACCAGTACGCTGGACTTCTGTTTGGCTAGGATATCCTTTGTTTCATTGACCCGAGCTGTGACAAAGAAGTGCAGGGATGCCTGTTCCAGCAGCTGGCCCATGTATTCACTGGCTCTGATCAGCACTTCCTCTTTTTTGACTGGCAGGAGGGAAAACAAACAGGCTGAACATCAAGACCTGAGAGACAGTCTGCCTTACTTTTCCTGAAGTTCCTCCACCATTCCCATATTAGCACAGCAAAGGGGAGGGGTAGATAGCTTCTTGAGTAAACAAGGAATGTGCTGGAAATTTAATATTTGGTGATGTCTTCCTAGAGAAAATGTGTTAAAATTTCTAACCAGTGCTTTTGGTACTGTAACATGGAATGTCAGGATGAAGATGTTTAAGATGGAGAACCAAGGGTTTTAACTGTGGTTTTGAGTGGGGAAGAGATGATTGCAAAGTCGCATATGTGGTGTGCTGCAGTCCAAAGCCACCATTCCACTTGCTGCCCCCATGTGGAATAAGAAACGTCCCACCCAGGTCATGGAGCAGTGCTTGAGCAAAACTGTCAACTCTCTAAACCTTGTCTTCATTGAACTCCATATTTTCTTCCCAACCTTTTATGTACCAACCTGATTCCATGATTTTTCTATTTAAAAGAAAGAAGCTGACCGATGGCATAATGGTTACATAGCTGGATTCCAACATGGCCAACTGCGGTTTGAATCTCAGACTCAGAGACTTAAAACTCACAGCAGGTGTGTGTGCCTGCATGTCCAAAAAAATGAGAGGGGAATGGAGGAGAAGGGATTTCAGCACAGCTATCCCCTCTCCTCCTGGAAAGGGGGTAAGTGATTTTTCACTTTCTGTCTCTCTGGCAAGTGCATGTGCCTTCTAGCAAAAATCTCTCCTAAATGAATGAATGAATGAATGAATGAATGAATGAATGACTTGCATAGTTTCCACCAAAGGCATTTGAAAATCTCCAAGCCCCACCCCCCATCCGTAATTTAGAAGAAGTCTGTGCCAAACCATTGTTTCCTGAAGTCACTGATGTTAGTTTCTATCCCCCCCATCCGTAATTTAGAAGTCTGTGCCAAACCTTTGTTTCCTGAAGTCACTGATGTTAGTTTCTAGATACTGGGGATGGATGAGCCAGTGAGGGTGACCTTTGGAGGTGGGAGAGTTGTCCTGGCTGCATTACACTAACCATCTGGGCTGGGGATGATGGTTTCTGTCTTGTGATTTTTGGCCCACTCTCTCTTACTCTCATTTCCCACAGCCCTGCATGCTAGTGAGCACAAGGGCAATTCTGCAGGAGCCCAGGTGGGGCACCTGCTGCTCTCCTGTCAGAGCCAGGTGCCTGCGCTGCACTGTCACAGGGCAGGCTGGCTCCTGTCTCCATCTCATCTATGAAGAACAGATTTTATAACATTCAATAAACTGAACATCTCCACTGCTTTCTGCCCAATGGCTGACTCTTGCCAAAGATTCCTTCTTCCTATGGAAGTTATTGAAGGAATCAGTTCCATGGCTGATTCTTTTTGTTTCCCTTAATTTAATTTATTTTCTATTTTATTTTGAATTTTGACCACACAGAGAGAGAGAGAGAGAGAGCGAGAGAGAGCAAGCCATCAGGTCCAGGACTTGAACTATGGTCACCATGTGGGTCCAGTGCCTTAACCACCATGCCACCTGCTGGTCGCCCATGGCTGGTTCTTTAAGTGCAGAGGGTAGTTCATTTTAGCCTGCCACCACATTAAGCAGCAGTCTTGAAGGAGGATGGAGTGCTGTCCGGGATGAGTGAGCACAAGGACAGAGGGAAGGGCTCCTGATTGGCCACTAGTTCACAGGTGAGGATGCATTATCATACCTGGACGGGGTCTACCACAGCTTGTCCTGGGCCTTGAAGACCAAGAGGTTGGTAATGGCTTCTACTTGGGCAGCACTTCACTTTGGAAGTCTCTACAGATAAGGAGGTGCTGGAACTGCCTCTAGTGCTTTGAGGGAAGAGTTGTCGGTCTTGGCTCCACATCATAATCACTTGGGGATGTTTAAAACCCTGCCATATTGGATCCCACACCAGACAGATCACATCAGTACCTTGAAGGCTGGATCCCAGACATCAGTAGAAGTGAAATTCTGCAGCTGACTAGCCAGGGTGGAAAAACAGCAACCAAACAACCAGGGACTCCCACAGAATCAGCCCTGCAAAGAGCTTTGGTTCCAGTGGGGCATAGGGTCCTTCCCACCGAGGCCCTTGCCCCTCCTAGTATGGTCTACAGACCAATAGACCATGAATACCTGGGATCTTTTTAGAGATTCAGGTTCTCTGATACCATTGGAACCCCAAATCAGGATCTGCATTGGAATAAGACCCGAGATGATGCCTATTCAAGTGTAAACAGCTCTGAGAGAAAGCAGGTTCTACCAGTATAAGGGATGGACTAAGGATAGAGTTAGGAGGAACTTGGGAAGGGCAGAGTTTTGACATCGAAGCACATGTTTCATGGGAGTCCTGCCAATACTGGCAAACAGGAAAGGTTGGTCATCGTAGACCAGTGGCTGTCAACAGAGGGCAATTTTGGCTTCTCGTATCTGGTAGGGAGAGGCCAGGGCTGCTGGCTACTGCTAACCATCCTATAATGCTCAGGACAGTCCCTACAACAAGGAAGTATCCAGGCCAAACGCTAATAGTGCTGAGGCTGAGAAACACTGCCCTAATCACTGTTGTGGTTGGCTTGATTCCTGGGCACTGTTATTCCAGGTAGACCTGGTTCTTTCTTGGAAGTGATGACCTCATCTTGACCTTGGTCCCCCAATTCTGCCTTTATGAATGCCCCACTCGAATTGCCTTCTTTGATCCTGAGCCTGGACCCTGCTTTCTCCATGGCTTCCCTAGCAATTCACTGTCCAGATGAGTGAATTGCTCATCATCAGATCAGATACAACCTCAGATGGCCGCTGCAGCTGGTCTTCTACAGCCTCAGATTGGGACAGATGGATGGAGTGGCAATGCAGCAGGCCTTGAAGAACATGCATTTTGCCTCTAGCTGCTTCCAGGAATTATTTTAAAAACATGGACTTCCTAAGTCTATTTCTAGGGGACTGTGTTTGACCACTAGGTTTCTGTAGGCTAGTGGGATATGCCTGACTACGTCTACCAGGCTATATAATCTCAGCATCAGTCTCCTTCTTCTCTGAGGTAGAACATTCCCTTCATCATAGCACCAAAGAAACCAGGCTGTGCCTCAGAGCCCAAGAGAACAGTGCTCCTGAAATAGGATGTTATGTAAGTGCTGTGTTTTGCCACTGCACAAGAAATTGTTCTAGATAAAGTTTATTAAACGTGGCAAGAGAAAGAGGAATAGATTTTCACTCTATGAGCGGTGGAGCTGGGAAGCTGCCAATATCATTTACGGTATCTGGGGAAAGCCAAGGGAGACACAGACTGGGGCTGCCTCATCTCTTTTCCAAAAAGCAAAGAAAACTAAATATAGCCAAGTGGAAATGATAGCACCTTTGAAGGTACTGGACGGTTTCAGTTATTCAAATCTACCAAGCTGATTCTAGCCCACACATTCCCTTGAATCATCAATCTGGAAAGTATGCCTCCCATTTGACTTAGAAAACTTTTTTTGCAGTACAGTCAGTGAAGAATGCTTGATCCAAGGTCTAGGCTTATGTGGTGTTTTGCAATATATTGCATTTTTTAATATTACATCATGCAATTTATTACATGCAATTAATGCCACCTATCTATAAAGTAAAGGAAGGGTCTCCAATGCCCTTCAAGTTATTCAAGTCAAGCCCTGGAGTGGGCTGAGTAGGTGCGGACTGGGTTAATATTGACTTAGGCTTAGGTTTGGTCAACTGTCCCTAAATTAACTGAAAGGGGTACTTTAGCCTGCAGCTTATATAAGTTCACTGTTTAATTGGATTTAGGTAGAGAAAGGAAAGGAGGGTGGAAAATAGGACTCTTGTGAATTGGAAAATGGAGGACATTTAGTTTCTGGTCTAGGGGTCTGTGCTAGATTTCGGGTAATGGTGACATGAGTAAGGAAACCGGCCTTGGCGGGTCTATGCTTTCTATAACTGACTCACCTCACTGCCTGAATGGGACCTGGCTTCTGTTATCTGCTTCACCTCTAATTGCTATGTGTGGCCTTGAACACATCAAATCATCTATCCAGGCTCAGTTTCCCATGATGTTAACGTGTTGGAAGTTCACATTTACTGAGAGCCTGCTATGTGCAGAGAGATTCCCATACATTGAATCATTGGTTTCTTCTCTACCCTGCATCTCTCAAACCACATCCACAATCCATCAGTCAGTCGGTGGGTTCTACCTTCAGAACATACCCAGATATGGGCTTTTAAGACCAAGAGGTTGGTAATGGCTTCTACTTGAGCAGCATGTCACTGTTCATAGTCCCTTCACTGTCACCACCACATCTCAGCTGATTGATTTCAATAACATTTTGGTGTCTGAGTCTCAGCTCTACTTCTTTTTTATTTTTATTTTTTCAACACAGCAGCCAGGCTGATCTTCCACAATCTAGGTTATATTCTGCTCAAAACCCTCTAATGACTCCTCAGCTTACTCAAATTAAAAGTCAAAGTCCTTATAAGGGCATACAGTCCTTTGTAAGATCTGCACACACAACTTCCCTGTAGACACCTTAGCTCTCAAATCTGCCTCCTTCCTGCTCATTGAATGCATCAGACACGCTGTGGCCCCAGGGCCTTTGCATGTACAATTTTTTTCTGGATGAATGTCCCTCCTACCTTTCTAATAAGTCTCTATTAAATGTCACCTTTTTTTTTTTTAAGAGTTCTTTTCTATAGGGTCCATGTGCTCACTATAAAGATGGAAAGATAGAAAAGGAGAAATCACTCCCTGGGGGATGACCACGCCACGGTCCCTTCTCCTCCATTCTCCTTTCAGGATTTGGAGCACACATGTACCCAGCTTGAGTTTTAAGCCGCTGGGTTTGGGACTTGAGCTGTAGTTGATTACATGGGAGTCCAGCAATGTAACCATTACAGCATTTGCTAGTCCCTAAATGTCACCCTTTGAGAGAAGTTTTCCCCAACCACTTCACACCCCATCATTCTTTGCCTCCTTACCTGTTTTATATTTTCCTATCACATATATAACCATACTATAGATCCACCTGTTTGATTCCTATTGTCTGGTTTCCCCATAAGACCAGAAATTCCATAAGGGTAGACATTGCTATGTCCTGAGCACAAAATGGATCCTGGCCTTGTAAGCACTGAATACAGGGAATGAATTTACAGTCCTGTGGGGTGAGTGGTATTGTTCCATTTATAGGTAATGTGGGAGAGCTCAGATTACTTGCCGGGGGACACATGGCTCGGATGTGACACAGTCACACCTTACATCGGTTTGTTTCATTCCAAGATGTAGGCTCTTTTTTTTTTTAATTTTTTTTTTTTGAGAGATTTTCACTGTAGGGCACGTGCGCTCGCCAGATAGACAGAGACATAGAGACAGAAAGCGAGAAATCACCCCCCAGGGGGGATGGTCACGCCGCAATCCCTTCTCCTCCATTCTCCTCTCGGGATCTTGGGCACACACGCACATGCGCCCGGCGTGAGTTTTAAGCCACCGGGTCCGGGACACGAACCGCGGTCGACTACGTGGGAGTCCAGCGACATAGCCATTACGCTAACTGCTGGTTCCCCCAAAATGTAGGCTCTTGAAAATCCAATATGCCCACCTGTTCTAAGCAACTATGACTGATCATTTTGGTCCTTTATCCTGACTGATCTTTTCGATGATAACTATCTTTCCTAGCTCTAAGGATAAGAATATGTTAAGTTGTTCCATTTCCAAAGAAAATACCACAGTGATTTCTTAATTGTTAATTACTGAAGCTCTGGAGATCTGCGGCCTTCAAGTTTGGGTAGGTTTCTTGGAATCAGTATTTTCAGGAATAATTTCTGGAAATATTTTTCAGAAGCCTAAGCTATGACAGGTACTATGGGCCATGACAGGCACAAATCTAGAAAACTTGAAAACAGAGAACCATTGAGAAATGTGACTTGGTCATCCCATATTAGTCTGGTTAACTTCCACTTTGTAAAAAAATTACTATTTGTATACATTCTTTTCTTTCCCCTCAGGGCACCTGCATTCATTAGAGAGAGACAGAGAGAGAGGGAGAAGAAAAAGCACCATTCCCTGTCCTCCCATGGTGTATGGCCGTGACAAATCCTTTCTCTGCCATCTTTCTCTTCTTTTGAGATTTTGGGCATGCACGCACACATGCCCAGTGTGTTTCTTAAGTCTCCAAGACCAGGAGTTGAACCACTTGGTTGCCCATGTAGAACTCAGCCACCTTAACCACCAGACAGAGCTGGCCGTGTATACTTTTATTTTTCCTCTTCTTTTTCAATGTCACATGTCAGGTCAATGGAAACCCAGTGTTCTAAAGTGTTCAGGTCCTTTTCTGTCTGCTGTATCTAACTAGACCTGCTCTGCCTACAGACCAGTTTCTTTGGGTTTGCTCATTGTGCTGGTTGTATTGTCAACTGTTGAACCCACCAACTACTAGCACCCCGGGAAGGGAGACTGGTTGAAGTTGTAAACCCCAACACAAGTTGCAGCATGTCAATACAACCTGCTTAAAATATTCTGAATTTTTATAGTGGTGAAAATTCTTGGAAGGGCATATGTGAAAGGATGAGAAGGAGATCCCATGAGATATGGCAAAGATAGTAAAGCCCTTCCCAGATCCTGTGACAGCCACATTCTGCCTGTAACAGTTTGGGCAATGGTTTGTCCCCCAGAGGTGAATCATTTTAAATTTAGATATCCCTCAGAAATTCATGTGTTGGGGTGTGATTGCATTACAAGAGTGTTAAGTGAAAACTCAGTCTCTTCATGGTGACAAAGGGGGGGCTTTTTGTGTCTGATAATGTCATTAGGGCAGGGTCCCTATGATTGAGTTCTGGTGGGTATAGAAGTAGGGGCAATAAGACCGGAATGGCAGAAAGAAGGTTGGAGAGATATAGACCATGCTCTGCTCTGGCTGAAGTTGTTCCTTCTGCCATTTTGTGATGCTTTTGAACTTTCCAGCCAGTGAGACTCTGAGTCATACACCTCTATTTTTATAAATTCACCCAGTCTTAGGTACTTCTGTTAGCAGCACACAGCAGAGTGACACGAGTATCTCCAGGGATGGGCTTTCTCCTACATATCACAC